GTACATGCTACTGAAGGCTTGAGAAGTGGCGCCTGGAGTAAAAAGTACACATGGACTGAAACCGAGTGAAATAGGTCAATCAAAAAGATAAGAAACGGATCTATGAGCCCATAAAACAAATCCGGACAGGAAGCCCTAGTCGCAGCAGTCACTTTAAAGGTTGGGGAGCAAGGCAAGCAGCAGGTGTGATGACGCCACGATAAATTCGCCAAAAGGATTCACCTCTGTGGAATATAAACATGTCAGAAGTTGTGATAGGACGAGGGCGAGACAAGTGAGTAGAAAATGGATAGAGGGATCAGGACAAGACAACCACTTCGACAGAAAGTTGGTCAAGGGATTGACTTCACTTGTCTCTTAGACGAGTTGTAGTTGAGTGCTGAGACTAGCAAGACTCACTGAAGATGCCTGCGAAACGTCTAGGAATGTATCAGGTCCACGGCCCGACTCTGGTAATGATCATCCATACTATGGACTCCGCACAAGATGCGTCGGTATGACCAAGTTGTGAAAACAATGTCAACTTACTGTTATACATCGAAGAGACTGCGACCAAAATAGAAGCCACAACATCTTGTTCTTCTTATCTACACATTTGTATAAATTATATACTTATAGGTCCTCTATGCTCGATAAGATCCATGTGTCAATATATTTGCATTTTCTAATATTCACATACTCTATTCATCTTTCTATTATTCATGGCATGGATATTAAGTCTTGGTTTACCGGTTGAATTATATTAGCCCAGTAGTTCTCGGCTATATTTTTTCTTAACCCTTAATGTTGGGGCAAGTAAGCTTGGCCTTGAATTTATCAACAATCTATTTAAATATTTAGGAGAAAATTTCCTTCAACGGAAATAAAGCTACATAAATTTGAAATTTAAATTTATCTAGAAGTGGTTTGACCTCGTTTTCACAACTTATCAGGGCGATCGAGATAAAAGCATCTTGTCCGAAGTCCTTTGCTATAGTAGTTAAGATGACTTCCACAAGTCTAATAATTTATCAAGAGCACGGTTCGACGCTGGGAATTATAATAGCTGCTGTAGCATAGGACTTCAAACAAGGTTCGAATTCATAAGAATTCTTTATTTAAAACGTCCATGCCTCGAAGATTTGCATTATTTGTCGACAGATATATCATGATATTTTACGCATCACACTACCCTTATTATTGATAATAATTATTTGGGCGATTTATTTTTTTAATTTTGGGCAGACCCTATGGATTCGGGGACCTGGCATATCTTTGAATAAGTGCTTATTTTCCTCATCTCTAATTCCATATTTGCTACACATTGTTGTTAGCAACTCTTTAGTCTAAATATCAGGGCTTCTGTAGATTTCTTACGATGCGCTATGTTTTATCATCTGCCCAAAGCCTTTGATAGCACGTATCCTTAAGCCTTACTAATAAGCCACTAAAGTCTGGATTCTCAAGCTGAATGAAAAATTAACTTGAAATTACACTGTTAGGCATTCGAACAAGGCAAATTTTGTGTTCAAACCTTTACTTCACGAACTACTAATAACCAATAAACCCTGGTCTCTGCCGCATCTCTCGTGCTTCTACCTATCATGTTGAGTCTCTGGTCCCAGTCTCTGGTGTATCAGCCCCTGAATGCTTTAGTTCTACTGCTTTTGTTCAGTCTCACTGTAGACTTCTCTTCTTATTTTCCGATTGTTCCATTCTTGTTTCTTTTTAGATTTTTTCCACTTGAGTTAAAAATATTTCCTTAATCCAGTCATATTTTTTCCTGATCTTCTGATCCCTGATATACTCAGAGTTTGCTTAAACAATATGCAAAACGTTCGCTAATCATGCTTTTTTTTCTAGCTTCCTATTCATCAGCTTTCTTTTAGCCATGATACCGATGGGCTCTCTTATCTTGCGTTTTATCGTATTTTCACAATATACAGCCAGACTTTCTGTGGATTTCCAGTCGATTTCATGTCCCGTCCGTGAAATGTGTTCCGTTGTTTCGGATCTTTCCGCATCCATATTTCTGCTGAGTTTTTGATATTTCTTGATTCGTAGGTTAAATTTTCTTCCCCTTCCATCAATCTACAGTTGCCGCATTTTATGTGATAAACTCCCGAGCAATCCAGTTTGTCAACCTTCTGATGAAAAGCTTAAGGATCCCACAATAAATTTATTTTTTACCTATACAATTCTATACAGTGTTAGTATCATAGGCATGGGTAATAAAACGAAGGATTTAATTTTAGTCTTTTAATTATATATTTAGTCGAGTAACACTTGACAAAAGACCTTCATTTTCATTATCTTTGTGTTGAGATTTTGATGCATATCCTATATCAACTTGGAATGTTTAAAAAAATTGTGGTTTCCATATATTTTCCCTCAAACAAGCTACTTAAGCTTATGTATCCGAACTTCTATGTAGGTCTTTCTCGCTTGTGGCTTCCAGTTTTCAATTACCCATTATCTACTTTACAAAAATATTTTTATTCTATGGAAATAATGCACCTTGCTAAGATTCTGTATGTAAATTTAGCAGAAATTTTCTGATTCATCCCTGATGCTCAAATAGTATGTAATTTCAATTTAAGACGTCTGTTTATTGCCTAGAAGATGGGAAAGTTTCCAATCACGTTGGGTTCTACGCGTTGCTACCATCTATAACCTTTCGTAGGGCTGTAAGCCTGAAATAACTACCTCAAGCTTATACGACATTTACCATCATATATATTCAACATGTTGCTTATTATACATAGGGTTCCTTTATTTGCCCTCCAAACTTCTTGAAAGTCTGTCACCAATTTCCCCATATTTTTTCCGTTCCTATCCTGTTAGATTCCGGCATAGCATTATTCAAGGGCCAGACGCCTGCGCGTCCCCTGCCGGCACTTGAGACCAGGGATACCGGTCTCTCATTTTCTTCTACCAATGGCGTAAAAGCGATTTCCGATACAGCCTCGAGCACTGGTACTGGTTTGACAAACCCTCTTGATTACTTTAATGATCGACGCAAGCGACCTGTATCGATGGCGTCAAACATGCCGCTCGACATCTCCGGAAGCAGAGAGCAGTTGCACGGCGGCTCCGTTGGTATTCTCGAGGCGGTTGGAAAAGAATCCACGCACGATGGACAAGCAAGATTCTCCAGTGTTGGGTTAGTAAATTTTGTTTCTTGATTAATAGCCGAGCAGCTAACTAAACATAAGAAATTGGCACTAGTAAGTCCGATACAATTCTAAGTATAAGATTTACTATTTTTAG